AGCCTGTAACTATGGCGAACCCGGTGATTGATTCTGAGCCAGGACCAAGTATAACTCCTGCCATGGCTTCAGGAAGTTTCCGCGACAAGCTCATGAACAAGCTAAACCTAGTTAAAAATTGCGCTATTGAGGTGGATTCGCTGGCTACCGATTATGTTGAGCTCAATGATGATGAGGATGTGGTCATTTCGCGTGGGGGCAGAGGACCAAGCATTCAATTCTCTGAGCGAGCAATGAACCGACTCTGCCAACCGTGGAAGAATGCTCTGATATTGAAATTCTTGGGTCGATCCCACACCTACAACTATATTCACGATCGTCTGCAGCAAAAGTGGTGCCTAAAAGGGGGTTGGAAACTTATTGACCTTGTGAATGATTATTTTGTGGCCAAGTTTGATTTGGAAGAGGATATGAACCATGTGCTTACAGAAGGGCCTTGGGTTATCAGTGGGCAGTACCTAACTCTTCAAAAATGGCGACCTGGCTTCTGCCCAACCACTGCACACATCTCCCGTATGGCAGTATGGATCAGAGTCTCTGCCATTCAATTAGAGTGCTTTGATGTCTGGGCTCTCAAAAGAATTGGGAACTTATTAGGAAAATTGCTGAAGATTGATGCTTTTACTACCAGCCAAAACAGAGGTAAATTTGCTAGACTCTGTATTGAAATTGATTTAACTAAACCTTTGGATGCCTTTGTCCAGATAAATCAAGTATGGTATAATATTGAGTATGAAGGGCTACCGGACATTTGTTACCTCTGTGGACTATATGGGCATAAGCGTGAAAACTGTAGACAGAGAGAGAAACCTCCTGCCAAGGTCACTGAGGACCTACAGGCTGGGAAAAGTCCAAACCAAATGGAACCAGATACTAATATGGAACATGTGAATGCTGAGAAGGTGGTTGATAACTTAAGGGGACCTTGGATGATTGTCCCACCTAGAAGGAAACCTAAGAATGGCAACAAAGGAGTGGGGGAACAGAGCAATGGCTTAAATTACCATGGTTCCCGTTTTGAGGCGCTCAGGCAGAATGGAGAGGAAACTGGTGCAGATATTATTGAAGAGTTTGTCGCTACTACCACTGCACCTAAGGTTATTGGGGTGAATACTTCTGACTCTGGGAAGAAGGTGTGGACTAAGTCAAAGGCTCCGAAATGGGGGACTAGGACTGCTTTAGAAGATACTACAAATCAGAGCAGGGACTCTCGCTCTAAAGGGGAAAATGCTAATCAACGAACAATGAAAACCAAGAAGGCTGCTCAAGCTGGGACATCGACTATTGGGATGAATGGCGATAAATGGCAGATTCAACTAGACTCGGGGATCGATCGAATGGCTTCTTGGGTGAAGGACAAACCATTGGGTGGTTTTATTTTTGGCCATCAGCCCCCAACCATAGACCCTGGAGATAAAATACAAGCAGAGGAGTGTGAGGCTCATAAGGGTGATGATCCTTTGGTCTCTAATGCTGCTAATGGCCTGTGTCAAGTGGAAGGAATGGACATTTCCGAAGGTCAGATCCTATCAATTGGGGAGGTCAGAGAAAACCATACTTCCAGCCAGCTGGAAGGTATGCCTTTAGCCCATTGATTTGTGGGGTCTGCCCCAAAGTGCTCTCTTCTCTTCATCACTTTTTTATGGATATTCTGTGTTGGAATGCTAGAGGTGCTGCGAGCACCAAATTCAAAGTTAATCTGATTGAGATAATTAAGCTGCATCGTATCGATCTCTTGTTTATTTGTGAACCTAGGATTGGTGGGAACAAGGCTCTTAAAATCATTAAATCCTTAGGCTTTACTGATTATGAGGTGGTAAACCCTGTTGGTTTCTCTGGGGGTTTATGGCTGTTGTGGAATGCTAGTAAAATTAAAGTTGAGATTCTTGGCACATCGGACCAAACCATTACTGCTTCTGTGTCTGGTCCTGGTAACATTTCTTGGCTTTTCTCTGCTATCTATGCTAGCCCTTGTGGTGCCAAAAGGGAAAAACTGTGGGATTATTTAAATTTTGTTGCTAGCTGCCATCGAATGCCTTGGCTTATTGCTGGTGATTTCAATGACATGCTCCAGCTTGATGATAAAGTTGGGGGAACCCCCCTTAGTAGACTAAAAGGCTTTAAAAAATGGTTTGATGAGAACGACATGATTGACTTAGGCTACTCTGGGACTAAATATACTTGGAGCAACAAAAGAATTTTTGAAAGACTTGATAGAGCTATCTGTAACACTCAATGGCGCCATTACTTTGCTGATGCTTTTGTCCAACATCTTCCAAGAACTAATTCGGACCATTGCCCTATCAAAATCTGCCTCAAGTCTCGCCTTAATTCCTGTCCTAACAGGAGACCGTTCAGATTTGAAGCGATGTGGTTGAAACATGTCCATTTCCAAGATTTTATTACTCTTCAGTGGGAAAATGGGACTGGCACTGTTCTAGAAAAATCCAGCATATTGGTGGAACCTCTGAAGCAGTGGAATTTGACTACTTTTGGTCATTTAAATCAAAGGAAAGCTAAACTTTTAGCTAGAATTAATGGCATTCAAAGGGTGATCTGTCATACGCCTAATAACTTCCTCAGTTTTATGGAGGAGGACCTCATGGAAGAGTATAATTCTATTTTGGAGCAAGAGGCCCTCTTCTGGCAGCAAAAATCAAGAGTGATGTGGCTTCAAGAAGGGGATCGTAATACTAAATTCTTCCATCTTACTACTATTATTAGAAGGAGAAGAAATAGAATTGAAAAACTTCAAAATGATAGTGGTGAGTGGGTGGAGAACTCTAATGGCCTCAAAGAGCTGGCGGTGAATTATTTCCTTGATCTCTTCTCTTTGCCTCAAAGGGATTACAACAGCTCCCCCATCCCTAATTTGTTTCCTCAAATCATGGCAACTGACTTGACCTCCCTGATAGCTAATGTTAGTATTAGTGAAGTCAAGAATAGCTTATTCAATATTGGTGGTCTGAAAACCCCAGGTGTGGATGGGTTTCCAGCGTGTTTCTATCAAAACCAATGGAATTTATGTGGTATTGAGATTTATGAAATGGTTACTCAA